GTGCCCTTGTCCAGGAGCACAGACGTCAGCGTATACCCGGTCCTGGTTTGTCTCCATGTCTGCTTGACTACTCTGTCCTCGCCGCCGATTTTTATCAACCGCTCGCACCTCGCAGATTTTTTGGTTTGGGGGGCATTTTTTTCCTGACGCCCGCCCGCGCAGGCTGACAAAAAGACACGCCCTTCGCGGGTGGGGATCGTGTAGGACGGCCAAAGTAGGGATGTCCTCTGTATGCGACCCAGCGGAGTGCGTTCTCGTTCTGCGTTTGGGTTGAATCGTGTTTCTTTGCCGTCAGTTGGGTTCCGCCGCACAAAAAATGTTCAAAAAGTCGGGTTAAGATTTTTTTTTTCCAAACGCATTTCGGAACCGGATTCCCACGGTACGGTATACCCCAAAACCGGTTCCCGCTTTTTCTACCGACGGAAACTGCACCCGCAAAACCTCCGGGCACACGATCTCGGAAGGCGCCAATTTGAAAAGCTCACCGTTAGCTTGCGTTTGAGCATCTGTACGCACGAATCAGCTGCGCCACTCCCGAGATACAGCACCACAACCACCACCGTAGGCGGGTACTGCAAGGTTGGCGTTTTGGCCGCTCCTGTTGCTAAGGATGGTCAGGTCTAAGGTGGACCCAGAGCAGGCGCAGAAGGCCATCAAGGCTGTCCGCAGCGGCGCTATGTCTCTCCGGGCTGCTGCACAGGCCTACTCTATAGACTAAGTATTTTTTTTCCGTACCACGTGCACGAGAACGTACGCAGCTGTGTCTTCCTATTTCATGAAAAGTGCTTCATCACCTCGAAAGAGAGCACAAATGGGTGGGCATACAGCCGTCACATTACCGATCCTTAAAACACGAACACAGAGGGATCCCATTTGTGTCAGAATATCTCATGACCTTTTCGAACTTGGTGGGAATTGTGGTCTCCATGTTGCAGGGTGATTGTACCGTTGCTTTAGTCACACCTTACGCCTACGTGTAGTCTACACGTACAGCAGTACAAAAGTTTCTCCGCAGTGCAAGCTGTCACCAGATCCCCATGCTATGCATAGTAGATACTGCTGTACTACGCTTGTTCCCGCGCTGCACGAGTGTCCAAGTCCGAACCCTGCAGGTTGAGACTTGGATGCGAGGAGTATGAACAAAACTGCTGAGGCAACGCTTGTTTTCGATATCTTGTAGTCTAGACTATGCATATTGTCGCCTCAAGATTGTCAAATGTCAAAACTGGACTCCAAAAAGAAAGATGCGACGGCGGCGGGGTTGGGTGGGGAGTGGAGAGGCATGACGCTGTGATGCTTGATTCCCACCCACTCTGCGTTCCTTCACCCACGCTCATTGGCCGATGGAGAATTTTCTGTTTACGACTATTATTCAACAGTAGAACGCAGCACAAGGCTACACCGAGTGCCCGGCGAACGTTGCACGCACACAATCACCAAACAGTAGTCGTGTGAGGACCGCATAAAGGGTCGTGTGCGTACCACGATATATGTCCTGTATTCCATGATGTACACCAAGCGCGTGCTCGCGCTCTCATATCTTGGCAATCGAAAACCCACGGGCCACACTTTGCGCAACACGTAGCGGTACTTGCGCGCCTGCAGTAGGATTTGCATTGGTTGAAACTAGCTTTCCGCCAGTTGCTCAATGGTCTGGCTATCGGTTCAAGATTCGGGTGCTGGGGTCTGTGGCGATTTCGTAGCATGGTTCTCCGCTGGCTCGAGGCCCGTAGCCACAGGCCAACGGGTGCTCCCCTTTCCCTTTCCGCCGTCCTTGCCCGAGAAGGGGGTACGCGAATTGGGATACGGGGCTACTCATTTCCAGGGGCAAACTTCAAAGAATTCATCCGTTTGTTTTTTGCGATGCTGCGCTGGGCAAACGGGTTTCACGTGACGATAGTTCGTTGCCGCGAAAGGCGTGACGGTTCACGTTGCCATGTGCACTTCGTGGCCCCCTATTTTGCGACTGGCTAGCGTATTTCGCGTGAGCTGCATCCACAAGACCCACTTGTTCCGACAGCGGTGAAGTATTCAGTGATATTTCGTGGCACAAGTTCAGCTTCCTCTCACAAGTGATCACGTTTGAAGAAGTTTGACACTCGCTCGGCTTTGGGCGCTCCCAACATTGCCCGCGCGAAGCAACTATTGACTTCAGCCATGCGCTCTCGAAAGGATGTGAAATCCTGACAACTATATCGTCGTATGAGTCACCACTGATGGTCAAAATTCTCAAGGTCGATTGATTTTCATGGGCAGCAGGCTTGAACCGCGGGTTTGACTCCTGGTGCACACACTATTTACTGTCTCAACCACCTACCCTTTGTGCTCAGGGGGAGAATCGGAACCTGACAAACGATTGGGCCACCCGGACGAGGTGATCGACAGGTAGAGAACGCAATGGCCGAGAACAACACGGAGGGCCGAAAAAACTAGAGGAAGGGAGGTGGATATCTTCGACATTCTCTCTCAAGACTCCACGCCCCAGAAATGGGCAGAGTGGCTCCGGGCCCCACTCGAAGCCGCCACGGCACGTGGCGACGAGACTGTCGCACTTGAGCTGGTCGGCGCAGGTGGGTCTATTGGCGGTGCGGTTCACGCAGACGTTAGCGGCGGTCACGTGGGGCTCGTGGGTAGTCTTCTCCGTACGGGAGCGCCTGTCGATGACAAGGACTCTCAAGGGTGCACAGCTCTGCACGTAGCCGCGACAGAAGGACAGCTCGAGGCAATCGATATGCTTGTCCAAGCTGGCGCCAGTCTCGAGGCAGTGGGCCCTACCAAGTGCACTCCTCTAGACTGGGCAGCTACGCACGTCAACTCCGCGAGCATCATTGCTTTGTTGGGGCGCGGCGCCGCTGTCGACGGGAACGCCTATGAGACCCCAGCTTGCGGCACGCTCCAGATGTTGACGCGCATGATGTGGGCGATGAGACGGCGCTCCACCTGCTTTGCCTCAAGGCCATGGTAATACCAAAGGTGCCAGAGATTGTAGATCTTCTGCTGAGGTGGGGCGCGTGTGAGGAAATTACCTGCTACGATCTCACACCCCTTGGTGTTCTGCATGCGTAGAATTCTGTGGACACGGACAACCTCACGCGCGTGCGCGACCTCTTGCACAACGCGCCGGCGGACAGAGCGTGGCGCCGCCGGGGCTTTCTTGTGCTATGCCGGGCTTTCCCGGACCGGATGCACCAAAACGTCGGAAACAACACTCCAACCGCGCCCGCCGCCGTCGCCGGCGAGGAATCGCCTGAAGCTCACCCCAGAAGCCGCCCTAGGCTTGAGACACCGCCAAAAAGCGGTGCCGGCGGCAACAGCAGCACGGCAGGGGTGGAAGGCGGCCAAAGCGGAATCTGTAAACTGGGTAGCGACAGTCCGAGGCCTGGTGGCCTGAATGGTGACTCTGCAGCTTGGCTGACGAGCACGGGCGAAGAGGCGATTTTCCGCCGCATCGTGATGTTCTTGTGAACAGGACTGCCGTCGTTCAGCTGGCAAGGTAGACTGTGTACTGAGTAATCACTAAACCTATTTTCAATATTGGAGTGCGCGATCAAGCAGAGATATAAACCCTTTTCAAATTCTGTTGGATTTCGTTGTCGGGGAGTCGGTCGCGAGTGTTTGTGCTAGAGCATGGTGGGTTTTTAGTTTAGAGCGAGTGAAGGTCGACTCAAGAGCACGTTTTACTTTACTTACCGCCTTCGTCCATAAGTCATTGGGCGCATGTTTCCCGCATGCTGTGGGCAACCTTCGTCGAAGCAGGCGCTGGTGTGCAGGCCTATCCTACACCATTTGCTCACTATTTTCGTGGAAGCGAGGAGGATTTCATGAGGGTATTCTTTGCCCGACCTCACCAACCTTGAAATATTGTAAAGCAAACGCGCCACACGCACAAATGTGCCCTGCCACAGCAAGAACGGCCTAACGCAGTAGCCGATGTGTGTGTCGCTACTTATTTTAACTTGCCTTGCAAGTGTCCTGTGCGCTTCCGAAATCCAGTCTGTCAGCCACAAGCCTTGGTGGCCTTCTCGCTTGTGCCCTTGTGGTAACGTCGGTTCTCGGCGCAATAGGCCGGCCAAACCGTCTAGTTCTTCATAGATATCGACTAGGTTTCGTTTACATTGGCGGCATGTTGGCTGGCAGCCGTGACTTCTAATCCAGTGCATTCCGTCTCGCGCCCTTTTCCGATTCCGTTTGCCGCCGGTGTTATGGCCGACCTCACAGGACGCCAATAGGTGCCGCATGTACATACATTTGCCTCCAATCGGTGCCGCATGTGCATACATTGCCTGCCAGAGCAAGCGGCCCAGCTTCCGTTGAGGAGATTGAGGAGATTCGCAATAGCAGAAGGCGTACAGGAAATGAGATCCCAAATGTGCGACGTGCTCGAATGCTGGTGATAGCCATCTTCGTAATTGCGACAAACTTGGAGCAATGCCTCTTCGAACTTTGGATGTTGTGGCCGAATCCGTTGGCACTGCTGATATTCATGTCGACCGTAGATCCAAATGCACGGGGTTGTGCCTGCTGTACACGTGGGCGATCGAAGCCTCGAGGAAGCTGGTGCACCGGAGTGGGGGGAGGAGGTTGGTCGTGCCATGTATTGTAGATCACTTCCGTTCCTCGCAGAAACGCGTGTGGCACGTCCGCACGTGGTATGTATGTGGTGCTGATGCCCCTCAACCTTGCGAGGACAATCGGCTACACAGTCAAGACGAAGATAAGTATGTTGGGACGAACTCCTTGCGGTTCCCCAAAGATTATAGTGTGTGGGGTGTGCATGATGAGTGTTATTGAATTGTATTGATTGTCCTACAGTAGTTACGAGAATATATTTTCTTTGTCATGCCTTTCACATGTAGACTAGTCTTAAATTCTGTTGTAGGACCGCTTCATTGTAAGTTGAGATTTTGCTGTGTGAGAATGCTTTCCATTTTGTCTTTTACCAGAGCGACCGGTGTTTTAGTTCTTCTGAGATACAACCCGTGCGCGGGTTTTGATTGTTCATATTCGATCGCCCCGGTCGTCTAGTTGGTATCCTCGAAACCTCGAAGTGGCTGGGGTTCAGGGGTTCGAATCCCGGCATAAGAGACAAGTAGCTTCTTGCAATGTGTGCGTTTTTCTTTCGCTTCCGTTTCGGGCCTGGGTGGAAAGCGCTAGTTCGTGTGTACAGAGGGACGAGAGTGCTACACTCTCCTCTTATTTACGATCGAAGGCAAAGCGCCGCAGGAGGGGTGGATAGGGGGCCGCAGGGGAGAAACTCGTCTGTGTGACCACGGGTTGAAAGCAAACGGCACAAGTACAGTGTCTAAACGCGTTGAGCACTGATTTGAGGTGGAGACGAAAAAAAGTGCCCTCGGGAGCGACGCACGCACGTACCTCGTGTGTCAATGTACTCCGGACGACCGTGGTGTCGACTAAATTAAGTTTTGACACGTCAACGCGAAGTCGATATCGACTTCTGTAGTGGTTGACTAGAGAAAAATGAAGCTTTAGACTAGACCTTGAGTTTGCGTCGACCATCTTGTTTCTCTGCACGGCAATCTCGGATCTTTTGCGTCACCGGACCGTCTGCCAGCTTCACCCTCTTTCCTCAATTGTTTCCTACACATACATGTCGTCGGCCAAATGCATGGTGAACGACGAACAACCAGTGCCTCAAGCAACCAACATGTCAGGCCACTCCTTACTGTGCTGCAGTCAACTCCCGCAACAGGCGAGGGAAAAAAGTGAACGCATTTTCATTTTGGGATTGGCGGCCGGCGTGCGTGTGCAAGGACTTGCGCACAGAATTTGCGCGCAAGCGGTAAATAACGCCTCCAGAACTACCCTTACAGAACCATTTTGAATTCGTCCAGCGCACACACAAACGGCTAACGGCACAGCAGCATACGCTGCGCTTTCTTCAGCGCTGCGTACCCTGACGGGCTCACATGAGCCTCTCCGTGCAAGGCTGCAGGATGGAGGCTGCTTCCTCTGCGGCTTTCGCTGCTGCTCCCCCTCCTGCGGTAGGACCAGCTGCTAGCGCAGGCGTGGCTCCTTGTCCCGTAGGCGGAGCAAGCCCTTCGCCTCTGACGGCGCTCATGTTTTCGAAAATTAACTCCCCTCATGCATGGCCGTGCTTGCGCTTTTGTCGGAAGGCGCACGATGAAGAGGTCGACCGCGCAGCGGCTGACTGCGCGTAGTACGGACAGTCGGTTGGGATGACCGTCCATGAGGACGTTTTTTTGTTTTTGTTTCTCACGTTACATATGTAGAATAGCTCCAAACTAGTCTACACAACTGTGTTGCAAAACATCCGTGGGAGCCAGTGGTCACACGACGAGGCGCTTGTCGCCGAAAAGAAACCAAGCACAAACATGGTAAGTACACGCGCGGTCCTAAGCTGCCCCCGGGAGGGTACTTGCGATACTTGCGTCTCGCCGACGCCCGGAAGAAGAAACAAAAGGTGTTCAAAAACCAGCAGTACGAGGGTTCCACACATTCGGTACGCTCTCCCCCACCCCACCCATAACAGCCGGGTGTGGGGTTCGAAGCGAGCCGTCCTGCCCAAACGCGCTGCCCAAATGGTGATCTGAACTCTATCGAAGGCCAACAAAATCCGACTACATGTTATCTGTACTCAGACCACCTGAAAAAAAAGACCCGCGAACGGTAGCAACGCCCATACCGCGCACACACACGAAACGCGCGCTACCATCTCTCTGGCGTCTCCGCGCGGTGTCATCCACTAACTTCCGCCAGCTGCAGAACTCTTGTGCCTTTTGCTCGGCCCCCTTTGCCTCAACACGGGCGGCGCTTGCACCTGCTCCAAGGCAAGGAGTGGCGAAGGCTGCCGCCCCGCGCCGCCAGGAACGGCGACGTTGCTCAGGGGACCAAGCGGCACGCCAGCACCCTGCAGCGGGTGCGCCCCACTGACCGGTGGCACCGCGCCGCCCACAGCCGCTGGCGAGTGGAACGAGGAATCCCCCGCGCCAGGGCCTGGTGTACGCACGCCGGTTGCTCCGCCCCTCCCTGCGTGCCCTTGGCTCCGTCCGCCCCTCCCCCCCATCCCTGTCGCCCCCCTTCCACCTCCGCCGCTACGGCCTCCCCGCCCCGGGCCCCGCCCCGTACCGCCGGCATCTCCCGACGGCAAGTCTTCGGCGGGCTGCGAGAAAACCCCTCGGAAAACTCGGTTCGTTGAGTGCTCGTCTTGGGATCTCTTCTCCACGTCGACTTGCGCGCGGGCGAAAAGCTTGATGGTCTCCATCGCGCGGTGGATGCCCGCCAGATTGTTGATCTCTTTGAACATACCACCCAACTCCTTGCCCAGGGCAACGCCGTTCGCGTACGCGTATGTTGGCACGTTAGGGCCGGAGCGCGAGACGGTGGAGTTGGGGTCGGCACGCGGCGGCTGGCCGACACCCGCCGGCAGACCGGCACTCGCGGCCGCTCCGGCCGTTAGGCTCGCAGGCTTAGCGGCCAGCTCGGCCATCAGTCATGGCGTCTCACTCTCACGCCACCGTGGTGAGGTGGTTGCTCCCTTGAAGCTGACAACACCCTCGGCCCACAAGGCCTTGAGGCCATGCGGGCAGAGCAGGCCGTACACCAGCTGCCGCAGGCACGTGCAGAGGAAGAAGCCGTCGGGTCCAAGAGCGACGAGGTGACCTAACTCAGACGGCGGAGCGATCATGCTGACGCGCACCACTGCGTTGACGTTCTGGTCACGGAGTAGGTCCTGTCCGGGATACCGTGGAGACGCCAGGGGCCTCGGTCGTCGGTTGTGAAGGGTCGATCACCTCTCCGGAGGAGGTGTCGTAACAGAGTTTCGCCTTGGCTGGGTCGGCCGCCAGCTCGTCGAGCAGTCGCCGCGCTTCATCTTCACCTCTGACCAGGCAGGTGGCGTTGTAACCGAGAGCGGCGACGACCTGTGCTTCTGTGTCCTGCCATTTACGATATACCCAAAGGGCGTTGCGCGAGGAGGAGGAGGGTGGGGGGCGGTAGGAACTTGAGGGCTCGCATCCAAGAATCGGGGAAGAAGACATGTTGCCTGCGCCTTGTTCGGCATGTGAAAGGGGCACCCCTTCTTTTGATGAGGGGAAACAATCAGGAGTCCACGCCATCGGCGCAACATCGACACAAGCAACCTGCTGGGCGCCCCTACTGCACTGCTGGTCTACTATAACAAAAAGCACGCGTCTACCCATGGGTGCAACCCAAGATCACCACAACTGACCTCGATTGCATGCGTGCTACACCGCTCGTCCTTCATTGCGTCCACGACAAAGCTGAAATGCCGAAGGAGTCCGCACCTGACGTTCTCCATGCTAGATACGCACTGCAAAGGCGCTCGGGGGAGCCTTCCTCCCTCCCTTCGCCTACAAAATGACGCAAGAACAAGCAACGGCAACGAAATAAGTCAGCCAAACGAGTAGTCACAACCGCCATGATGGCAAGAGCATGTGTGGGCGTTGGTATGGTGGTGGGTACTGGGGGGCTCGAAAAACAAGAGTGTACGTGTGGACCGCAGGGACTTCGGCGGCAAAAGTATCGCATAAGCAAAGCTCACGCTATTCCAGCACGGTGATGGTTTGACCTGCTTCAGGTGCAACTGACGTGCTTCCGCACGGTTAATTTATTGCCATTTCTTGTCGTTGACCGAACTCCGACACACACGCGAGTGGATTCTAACGGTAGAGGTCTTCGTTTGGGAGCACTACCACCTTCCTTCTGCGGAAAACACGAGCAAACCACCACGCAACACGTCTAAATCTGTCCGCCACAAAGACACACGTCGACGTCGCCGGACACTCACCTCTTGCTTTTGTTTGCGTCGTCCTGAACTTTGCCCATGAGCGCTTGGTTGAGATCGACCATGGTGCCCGCCCTCGTGACCAACCTCTTCACCGCACTACTCATCGACTCCACTCGCTGCGTGGAGCAGATGCCGAGGGTGTGAATGTCCTCGCGAGACATCTCGTTGCCGCAAGTTCTTGGGCGCGCGTGCTCCTTTCCGTCTGAACTCGGCGTGTGGTGCGTGAGGCACATGCCTCCCTGCACCACGGGGCGTCGCGAGACAAGCGAACGAGTGCGGAATGTCAACAGAACACACATCACACGTACGAACCTAAACCTCACCGCCCTACTCCCACATCCCTGACACCACAGACAACCCGCGGAGGAATCCTACTTGAGGTCGGCTCTGGCGTCTGTCGACCTCAGCACATCAACTCGACGGTACCGCATGGTCACGAGTCGATTTCCTCCCGCCAACGCAGATAAGCTCACCTGTGCAACGACTGGTGCATCACTTTTGGCCGACCACCACAGTACCGTTTTGAACTTGCAGCCCAGCTAGGATTCGCACGCGGGGGGGGTGAGCGCAACGAAGATGGGGAAACCAGCATGCTTGTACGCGTGGAAAACGATGACCGTTGTTGTGCTTTGATGCTTTTCCCGACGTTCAGAAACAGACAAAATCCCGACATGGGGTTTCTTCGCCGAAACGAAACATCCCAAAAACAACAGGCGCCTGCCGCGTATTTGGACACCCTGCCTTGTTTTCCTGCGGTCTTCTCGAAGTGGAAGACAACCCAAAATACGACTTCCCTATGCGTCCCGCGACAGTCGTAAACTGCCGGATGAAAAGATCGTATTGTAGCGCGTGAAACGTGCACGGAAACGTGCACGGAAACGTGCACGGGCCGTGCGAAAAATCCTACAATATGCCGTACTGGCAAAATATCACGGCAATTTCGGCGTCCGTACCGGCTGACATGATCGACAGGATTTGTGTAGGAAAGCATCGAACCACCGCATGAAAAACTTGGACGTCACAGCGTACACACGCAACCGCACAGCGAGCAAAAAAACAAGCGCACACAATCGCCCTCGAACGGAAAGCCACTGGAGGTGCTTCCGCCCCTCGCACGCACTTCATATTAGGGACAGCGAAGCGCAGAAGAAGCGCAGGGGTGCCTTCATCAGGTATTCACGAATATTCAACCAGTATTACCTTGGACGAAGAGGTCTTCTTGCCATCCTTCTCGTTCGCAACACGTTCACGTCTTCTCGGCTCCCCTGGTGGACGCAAGTGATCCACACACAGTTCCATCTGTTGAGCTTCCCCCTATTCCGTGCCTGTTGGATTGTCATTAGCTGGGGGGCGACGGCGACGACACAATCAGATGTCAACACATATATGTCAGCCCTCGATAGTAGCAGGGTGCGCAGTCACTTGTCACGTTGGACAACCCGAAAAAACCGAGCGTGCCAAAAAGAACTCGCATACATATTATCATCAAAGCACCATCCCGTACGCCCACGCAGCAAGTACAGCGTGTACGCCAGGGAAGAGCTGCTGCAATCGAAAACCCATATATGCCAAGTAGGTCTTACCCTGCTTTTGCTAACTCTCGTCACTTCGAAGCCGCGGGTGAAGCCGGGCACAGCTTTCACCATCTCCACGGCGCTGTTCAGGGTCTTCTCGCCATATTCGCCGGTCCCGTCTTCTAAGTTGGGGAAAATTAACTCCCTGACCTGCTTTTCAATCGCCGCTATCTCCCCTGCACAGGTCCACGTCGCATGAATTCGGGTGGTCAAGTGTGGCACATTGAGGGTCGTTATAAAAAAAAAATGGGTGTCAAGTGGCTTTCTTCAGCACAACCGTGACAAAATCGCGGTGCGCTGAGGCGTGCACTCGTCTCCTTGCGGTACGAACGGATACGGACGGCAAACACAGAGCGCATTGCAACAAACGCGCGCTCGTATAGCCGCATGCATCATACGCCGTCATACCTGGCGATGGCTCCGGCAGGGCTGCATCGGCGGCTGGAGCTGGAGCTGGAGCTGGAGCTGGTGCTGGACCTTCCGCAGCCGCGGGCGTGTTATCGGCCGAGGATCCAGGAGCTGCGCCGCTACCCGAGGCAATGGTGTCACCGCCAGCTTCATCTTCGCCACCACCAACGTGTACCACCATGTCCTCCCCCTCCCCATCAGCACCATGCGTCTTCGTGGAGGTCCCCCTAGAAGACATGAGCGCCGCCAGGGGCGAAGGGCTTGCTCCGCCTACGGGACAAGGAGCCACGCCTGCGCTGGCAGCTGCTCCTACCGCAGGAGGGGGAGCAGCAGCGAAAGCCGCAGAGGAAGCAGCCTTCATCCTGCAGTCTTGCACGGAGAGGCTCATGTGAGCCCGTCAGGGTACGCAGCGCTGAAGAGAGCGCAGCGTTGATGTGTTCGCTGGACGAATTCAAAATGGTTCTGCAAGGGTAGTTCTGGAGGCGTTATTCGGCCGGCCGTGGGTTTGGGGGCCCCGCGACAGCATACATCTAGAGGGAGTACATACCTGCCGACGGCTGTGCCTCCTATGGTCCGCTCCCTGCTGTCGATTGCTGTCCACCTGTGTCGTGGTGCTCTCCCACAACCCACAACCCGTTGATTGTTGGACGGAACTCTGTTGTGCGGTTTGGAACAACACCCACACCCTAGTAGGAGGAGGAACCGGCTGTAGTACGGCTCGTACTCCCTGCCGTCTTTATGCGGTGCTGTGTGGCTGCTAGACCCAGACACAGCAACACACTTGTTGAACCCCACGGGCTACGCCGCTAGGCGTCAACAATGAGCAGTTCCAGCGGGGGCGGGAGCAGCGACCATCGTGGCACCCCCAGCAAGGGCGGGCGAAGCGACACTAATGGCACAGTGAGCCACGTCACCTCGCAGCAGGCGGGCGTTTACAGCGGCAGCTACGCTGTGCCTGGAGTGTTTGGCGGGCAAACTGTAACTTCCCAACATGGAGGAGGGTCAGCTCCTCGCCCGCCCTCAGTTTCGGCACCACCAGCAGCACCGTCACAACCACCGCAAGCAGCAGGCAGCATCAAGAGCACCGCGAACCACATGGTGCTGGATAACGACCCATCCCTTGACCATCCTCCTGCCGTCACCTCGGTGGCGTGGGGTGGCGCTACCATCGCTTCCCCGGCCGTGTTGTTTGGGCAGCAGGAGGTGCGCGTGCATGTCTTTTTTTTGCAAGTTTTGTTGTATTCTATGCATGCGATAGCAGCAGTCCACACCTGGAGGTGTCCCTCTAACCCGTTTGGTAGTACAAGTAGTGCATACTCTTTATCATACTCTTTAAAGACGAATCCTTTGAAGGGACAGTTGTCCTGATTGGTTGATTCATTGTGTATTTTCTAAAGGTGAAGGGCGTCGCAGACGTGCAGACCTAGACCGATCTTGATGTGGGCGGGTGATTTTTTATTTATTTTTTCTTAATATCACGCAAGAATCCATCTATACAAAAATGTCTCAAGGTAGATTAGCAATGAATCCTATAGAGCGTGAGCGAAAGACTACCTGTATGTCTACGGTTTCCCAGACGGCATACAACGATAACTCCCCTGTGGGTAACAGGCTCAACAAGGCAGTTTGGTAGCCATCTTGTGTATCTATCTGTATGTTATGTTGGGAAGTTGTAGACGCAAGATTTAGGGGAACTCGGTTTGTCGGGTGTTCTACTATAGCACCCTTCTGTGGTTGACGAACACGTAGAACTAGTAGTCTCGGCAGAGGCTGGGGTTCTAGGTTCCAAAGGGTCATGCTACCAATGATCGCTATAAAGATTTTGGTGCAGGGGTTCTTACCCGAGCTCACAAGTGGTGCTCAAGTCCTTATCCTTTGATTTTTTCGAGGATCAATTTCTCAACTCCTGGGTTATTGCGTGCGGGCGCATCCTTTAGTTCGGTCCACATGGTACGAAACGTTGGTATGTCTTAGGACATTTGTGGACAACGCGTTCGTGTGCATGGAAGAGGGTGTGGTTTGAAGCCCACATGGTGGTGTGTATCCGTGCAGCCTTTGGTTGGCCCATAACATCGACAGACCGGTCTCCTCGTTCGGTCTTCGAATCCGTCGTGCCCATCTCTTCGTGTGTTCATTTCGTCCACACCTGCTTGGGGGCCAGAGCATTGCGGCCACAAGCACCTTGCAATTCGCACAGCTAGGACAACAGCTGCTCCCGCAGCAGCAGCTTCACGGATTCCGAGGGATCGGATCGTCCGTTGCCCCAGCCGCTCTGGTTCCACCGGCCCAACTGGCTGGTATCCACCCAACCGCTTCGCTTACTTCAACGACCTCCGTCGACACTGCTGTCAGCACGCATGTAGTCGATTGTGGTGTTGCTGGCGGGGGGGCGGTGACATCAGTGCTGCAACAGCACCCCCCCCCACCCCTCAGCGATATTGGTGGCGCTGTAGTGCCTCTCCCCGTGGCAAACAGCGGTCCCACATACACCTTCAACGGCGGTGGCGGCGGAGGCGGCGTTAGTGACCCGCTGACGAGGCCTGTCTTTCAGCCTGGATTCAACCCAACGGCACTGCAGAACCAACAGCAGCCGGCACCGGTGTTCACGACCCCGTCGTCCACGGGTTTCCCACTCTCTGCCTTCGTTGGCGAGCAGCAACAGCAGCAGAAGGCGGCACCGGTGTTCACGATCCCGCCATCCACTGGATTGGCCCCCTCTGCCTTTGCTGGCGAGCAACAACAGCCAATGGTGATGCCAGTGATTCAGCAGCAGCAGCAGCAGCAGCAGCATGAACAGCAGCAGCAACAACAACCAGGAACGCCTGCTGCGAGCATCACTGCAGCGTTCGCGCCATTTCCCCCGCAGTCTTTCTTGCAGCTTAATCCGGTGAGAACACGGATGAATCGCGTTGTCCAATCAGTAGCGGCTTTGCATGCAATCTCAAAACCCTTCCATATCCTCCAACCATGCATGCTGAACCAAGCCAACGTTCCATCAGCCGCCAGTACACCCAATGTTGTCATTTCGAGACCATTTTCTGGCTAGGCGGCTGTCGCTCACTTGTTTTCGTTTGTCTCACCACGCTTGGCGTGTTTTTCATCTGCTTCGTTGTGCACCTCTTTTGAAACCTTTCGACCAAGGGCAGAGCTTGTACCACGGGGGTGGGATCGGAATTTGAGATTTCGACTACGAGCGGCTAGCCTGGCCCCCGGGCCGAGGAGACTGACTGATTGTTGGAGGCGCCGCCCCCCGCAGCGTGTTTTTGACGGGATTTGCGCGCGCGGCTCGCAGGTCCAAGTGCGACATTCTCGCGACCCCCTGGTTGCTCAAATGTCCCCTACTCCACCCGCATGATGCAATGCCTTTGTCATTTCTTCCAACTCGCATCTCGTGACAACAGCACTTGCCGTGCGTGCGAGCGTGTGGTATGTATTGACACACGTACTCTGCCGATGGCGCCGATTGCACACATATTTCACGTTTTTTTGGTAGCGTTCATGATGTTGTGATACTTTCATGGACTCGCACACTCTCCCGATGTCACCGTGTACTTCACACGTGCTTGCCTGCGGGTGGTGTGTTGGGCGTAACGGGGGCTATTGTCTAATGATCAGCCGCCAATCAGGTTTTCCTAGTACATGTCTTTCGTTCTTCGCTGCGCTCTTTCAACCAATACGCATGGTGTTCGCGCCATTTCACGTCAACCCCGACCGCTGTGCCTACTCGTGGCCCGGGCGTGTGCGTGTGTGCGCTTGTTGGCGTGTGTGCGGCGTGGCGATGCGGGGGGGGTTGGCGGGGGGGGGGACTGGAACAATCGGACTGTTTTTTTGAGCAGCTGTACCCGGGGCTCCGCAATTTGCGGGAGACGCCACCCCTGTACGTGGTGGACGACTTCTTCAGCGGCCCCGAATGTGACGCCCTGATAGCCTTGGCCGGTAACTACATGATTGCTAGCCCTGTGGTCGGGGCCGGCGCCGGGGAGGTGAGCGAGAGCAGGACTAGCAGCTCGTGCTTCCTGGCGAGGGAGGACCTTCCGACCGTGTGCCACAAAGTGATGGCCCTGACTGGGAAACCCATCGAGCACTTGGAGCTCCCGCAGGTACGCAGGCGTGTGGTGTGGTCTCTTGTCTGATCGGCATGGACCGCGCAGCAGGGCTTACCAACAACAATAGACGCGACGTGAGTTTGTAATAATCACGTTTTTTGAAAGTTGCATTGTAAAGATCCGTGTCGTTCTCTCTTCGTCCTTTCCAGGGCTGTGTGGACTAGTCCGACCACAGCCTCAGGGTGTTTCTGCTTTCCTTTGCTCTCTCCTCGTTTTGTCTTTCTTGACGCCTTGGTTGAAAAACCATGCAGCCCAGAGCTCATCAAGCACCAGACCACACACTGATGCGGATGGAAATATGATGCCCAAGAACTCCTGCATCTCCATCATGACGTCATCGAATATCGCCTTTCGACACCGAATAACGATGGAAACGCTACATCAAACGGCTACCCCCAGTTACTATAGCAAATGGCGCCCGAGTGACGATGATGTGCATCTTTGATTTCAGACTAGGCCGTAGGCTATCTCATGATGCCCTTCCTGAGTTACAAGAGTGGAGTGTGATTTTTCGAGGGGCCAATTTGGCATGCAGCCACTGGCGCTATGCCCGATGTCATGCGGTGTGAAATTGTGTAGGTCATTTTTCTTTGCCGTGCCTTCGCGTCGGAGCCAAAAGTCGGCATGGTCTCGATTTCCCCGATCAGTCTGCGCGATGATCCGAACCGGCCTCAGGCATCACACCTTATTTTTTTGTGTCCGGTTCGATTTTTTGGACGCGCGCATGGATCGTGCCCCAGGCGTTTATTTCGTGACGGATCGCTCTGACTTTTGACAATGTCCGGAATAGACCACCCTTTTGTTTAGTCAATGCGTGTGGCTCTTCCATCCGCGTGTGTGTGGTGTACATCCTGCCCCACTGGACCATGGTATCGCAATACCGTGTCCAATCGTGTTCTCTGTCGCATACCCGCCCTGCATGAATGCTCACATTCACTTTGAATCGCTTGTTACGCCCAGAGAACCACTGCTGTCCTCGACGCATCTATCGAGTTTTTGTTCAATCGAGGGTGTAGGTAGACCTTCCCATGTACAGGACATCTGTAGGTCTTGGTGGGTGGCGAGCGGTGCAGTCATACGCCTCTCGCGAAAAGTACCCCCCGACGAATAGGATGCACATCGGTAACGTCATGACACCGTGTCTTTCGCCTCCATAACTGTGTGCATCGTTCAACGACCCTGCCGACAATCTGAACTCAGCAGCAGCACCGGCATTTTTCTTACCAAGCAGCAGCACCACAAGCAAGCTTTTGTCTTATCCGCAGTAGCACCAAGGGCACGCATATCTCGTCGATCGGTGATGACCTCAAAAAAGTATTATCAGCTACGAGGGAAATTGACCCTTTTCTGAGTGGATCAGCATTTTAGGACATGATGAGGGGAAGCACTGCACATGTTTTTTTGTTTGCTGGCCAGGAAGGAAATAGCAAGAGGATAATTCGACCTAAACGGTTGTTTTTCTCAGGTGGGGCGCTACTATACTTCCCAGAAGTACGCTAACCACTGGGACGCATTCGACCTCAACACAGAGGACGGCAGGCGTTTCGCACAGAACGGGGGGCAGCGCGTGTGCACCGTGCTGGTGTACCTCAACGACGTTCCCTCCGGAGGGTGCACTGCTTTCCCTCAGCTGGGGATGAAGGTTCAGCCAAGAAAAGGTGCGTGGTTTCAAGCTAGGGTGGTCCGTGTCTCTTGGTTGCATGCTTGTCGCTATGCTGCAGGATATATCGACGGAGACTCTAACGTATCTCGAGGTCTTTTTTTCCCTGCTGCTGCTGCTGCTGCTGCTGCTGCTGAATGGACAATGCACCCAAGAGACTACCGAACGTGATCGCAGCCTAAAAGTGGAGTATTTCCTGTTGGATACATTTTCAGTCGGGATCTCCTCATCCCCTGGGCCTCTGCGGGACACTACCTACGTGTGCGCGCAATTGCACCCGTCTTTCCCGTCTGTGTCGACCTCGTCCTGCCCGCTAAACTCGTCCTTGGTTTCTAAACGTACTCGCTTTGCTTCTCACTTGCATGCTCGCTTCGGTGGTCGGGACTTTCTGAAGGCATGGCCGTAGTCTTTTTCCCGGCCACGCTGGACGGAGTGCTGGACTCGAGACTTCTGCACGCGGCCGAACCGGCCATAGACACGAAGTGGGTCTCCCAGATCTGGATTCGGCAGGGGGCTTACCACGGCACACCTACCGCCAGGATTCCCGCCATCTAGCACATCTATCGCTACCCTGTTTGGCAAGGTGAAGTCCGTCAGGCCCATTTTGGCAATTTGTCAAATGTTTTGGTGCTACGAACGCTGCAAGGTCAGTTCTTTTCTTTCTGGTTTTTGTCGTTTGGTGGGTTTCTCTTTCTTTTCAACCGTTTGCGGGAGGAATAGAGTGGTACTCTCCATTTTCTGTCTCTCAGGGCTTCGCATAATGCGATCCCATTTGATGTCTCAAACACGTGGTTTCCCACTGGTGCTCCGAATCACTACCTTCCGATTTGACGGGACTACCTGCAATTGCTTCCCTTGTTTCCTGTGAGGCATTTGGCGATCCCTGTCCTCTTGTGATACCACGTAGGTAGACAGAAGTCGAGTTCATGCACGTGTGTATGTACGCAGTCTCATCTAACATGTGGTTTGGACGGAAGCGTGATCCTCGTGGTGATCTTTTTTTGGATCTCGGTCTTGGCCGAAAGCCGTATACACAAACTGAACCTAAATGATCGAGATTGGCTGCCATTTGTTTCTCCTGTCCTCGGCTTATTTGTTCTTGTCTACGGATGGGGGCGGGGAAAGGGGGGAGGGGAGGGGACCCTGGGTTTATGTTGTTTTCCGCGCATGGCCGCAGCAGCATTTTTTGCACTGCGCCTACCCGTAGAGGTGGGGATGACGATCCTGGTCTTGCTGAACTTATCTGGCTCGCAGGGCTATCTCGTTCATCGAAGCTATTTGTGTCGTAATCGATGGTCTCGGATAGAAGGTGTGTCGAGATTCTGAGGCAGGAGAGGGCAGATGGGACCCGCTGCTGCACGTCTTGCCCCGAAATGCCCGTATGGTTGTAGAGAGGGTGTTTAGTGCTCGTACATACGTACCACGATTTAGACGTGTACAGCAAGGCGCGACGAAGGTGAGAGAGGAGAAGGTTGAGGTGCCATGCCTCGTTTTTCCCGCCCCTCAGTTTGATTTCTCGCGTGTTTCGTGGGTGGTGACCCCTGTACATGATACATAATAACAATGCACCCGCAAGTCAGGTGCCGCAAGTCGGACGCGACATGGGGTAGAGATCACCCGCTTTTGCTGTAGACTCAAGTTCAATGGTGCCCATGTGATTATTGGACACGCTGGACGACCAAGCTTAGAACACGGGGGCGTTTTTGTTGTTTTATTCTGCTGCCGCGATGGCCAGGGTGTCGTCGCGTGGTGTCCCCGAAGCAGCAGCAGCAGCAAGATTGCGGCATGACGATTCTCTCGAACGTTCACTTTTGTCAAGATTCTCTGGTGTGTGGATTATTATCAATGCATTTTTGTTGTTGGGATTCGGCGTTGCATTTTTTGGTGCTCACCGCGCACCAGTTGTTGTGCTGACCTGGGTTCGCGTTTGCTCGTTATTTCGAAATCCTGTTCTTTAATGTTTTTTTTTCCTTGTCGTTTTCGGTGCTCTCTGGCGATATGAGTTAGCCTACCGTCGGTGAAGACGCTTGCCGAACAGATGACGCCAGGTTTATGGGTGAGCTAGTACAAATAGCCCCCTGTCTGGATCGCACAGGACAGGATGGTGGGCATTGAGTTTGATTTTGCACACGCTACATGAACAACGCTGTCTTGAAGTTCTGTTTGGAGGGTTCCTGTTGCCGAGGTGGATGCAGAGCGAGGGAAGCCGGGGTGGGCAAGGCTTCGACGATGTATGTTTCAGATGAACTCAAGAAGCTTTCGTTGCACGGAGAAAAGAGGGTTGATGGTGAATAGAATAGATAAGGGCGTTACCATCGATGTGTTCCCAGCGATTGGCGAGTCATTCGTGTGTAACTGTAGGTGTAGTATGTCAACAGCGCGTCTCGGTGCACTTGTCCTAACATTCGTAAGAGGCAGCGATTGGTGTCATCGAAATGGCAGCAGGCAGGGAACTCCCGGCTTGTTTGTGTCTTCCGCATGTTGCCAATTTGTGTTGCAATCCTTAACCTTCGCGAGGGTTGGGTATTGATTGCGCAAAACCCCTCTATGTAGGCGGCAAATAAACCCTGGCAGCCATCTGTGGTAGGTCCCTAGTACTCACCTGGCCTCGTATCAGATACTGCACCCCGAAAACGCGAGTTGGTCCTGATGTCGATTCTCCAATGGACAAAAATGAAACCCCAGCACAGCAGTGCGTACAGCGGCCGGCGATTCAAACCGGTCGCGCGTTGCACTTGGTGGTCCTTCTGTGTGTGAAGGACAAGACAGACATGTCTCTCCACGGCCTACTTCTGCACGATTTTCCCTTCGAGGAAACATCCCTCTTCACCTCCGAGACCTTGAACCTGTCCACAAAGCAGCAACAGAGTCACACGAGAAATGGGGGTTGCCTCTGCCTTGAATTGTCCGGTGTCGACAACAAAGGAAATATATATCCCAAAAAGTTCGCATGCCGAACCAAAGGTCGGGTTCGTGCTTGGAAGTCTGATAGTGTATGGTTCTTGATCTCTCCTTCACTCTAGATCTGAAAAATTTTCCGTATCTACATCTACATTTTGTGTCCCAAAAACTGAAAATACAAAATGCCCGAAACTAATCACGGAACAAAAAACAAAGCACAAAAAAAACACATAGCTAGACTATACAATATGCTGGCTGACTGATGTAACAGCAGCGGCAATCAACAGTAGCAGCAGTCACCGGCGCCGCAAGGACGCCACGGTAGCACGTGCCGCCGTTCTCCAGCGGCTTTGCCCCACCGTGGCGGTAGAGTCCCCGGCCCGCGCCACTGGCTGGCTCACTGGTGCAACCCTTACCCCCACCAACACTGGTTTGGGCGCGTACCCACACGAAAATTCACTCGTGCCGACGCGGACAAACTCCCTACGGGTGGCCATACTTACAAACCATTAACACCGCAAGGGGGAATACGGAAGACGATCTGTGCACCTTGCCGAGTAGAACGTTCAACGTATGTAAACGAAACAGTCTTTCCCCAAAAGTACACAGGTGGAAAGGCCCTGATGTCCACGCGGCCGCTGGATAACCCTTCAAAGAGCCAGCCGCGCGTGTGATAGAAAGGCTAAGGGAGGAGCCACGCGGCCATTCCGTTTGAACTGCACGTGCCACCTCTCTTGGTTTGGGAAGCAGTCGGCGTTTCGGATCCAGCGGTTGCGCGACACAAATAGACATCTTCGAAGGGACATGAGGAGGACGGGTTACACAGCCGAAGAGACGTGCTGCTCCTGCTCGCTGCTGAATAAATGTAAGTGATCCGGACATCATACAACGCGTATGCATACGAACCATCACAGGTGTGTGCGCAATGGCCTTTTGGTGCACTACAATGAAGTTGCAGAAGCCCGTACCGACACGCCACATGCCAATACCACCCGTCTGAACTGCATATGCTAGTGTGATGAAGTGCGCTGGTGCTATGCGACATACTCAAGGAGAATACACACGTTCTAAATTACTCACAGGGAACCGACAAGGAAACAGGGGGTAAACAACACAATGTTTCCGCACACCACATTCAGACAAGATCTTGGAGATCTGTGCACTCTACTCGCACACGACCTGAACGACGTACGTATATGTTATCCACTCTGCTCATCTTGCGTGTACTATCAATACATAGTATATATTGTCGATGCACAACGCGACGCAATACAGGAGCGCATATGCAGCACTACATGTCCAATCAATATCCACCTGTGCCACGTCACCAACATCAAGTACAATGAACTAGCACACACATAATGGGTGCCCTTGTGGATGTTCAACCAAGGGTATCACAAACCGAATACCCGCCACCCAACATCTTCCCAACATACTCCGTACTCCTCTAGACAACACCTTTCCAGCGTAGCATGAAGTCAGATATGTACAGACAACGGCCACCTACCTGTTTTGTCGAGCCTATTACCCACAGGGGAGATATCGCTGTTTGCTGCTCGGGGAACCGTAGTTGTCACCGTACAACACGAATACCCAATCTACCACGGACTCTTGTCTGTGGAAGAGACGGATTTGCTGAATTCTTTGTAAGAACAACAACAGACTCACGTCTGAGCCGTGTCGAGAATTTGCAAACATGTGCTGTTGTTAATTTGGCCCCGCCTCCCCCCCAAACCGCGGACAGCCCTCGCAACAGGTCATTACCCCGACGGTATCGTTTGTCGATTCCTCTGGCCTTCACGCGCGCGGCCTCGCCCGCCGAGTTGGCCTCTGCCCGAAAAATCCGCAAAAAAACTACGCATAAGTCCGGGTTTCATGAACAATGCGCGACCTGCTCATGAAGACGAACGTGACGACGACCTCGCTTCTAGAGTTTCGATAGGTTAGGGTGGGGTCCGAGCCACGGTTGTCCCATGGCCTGCGCCAACACGTCGAACCGATCGCAGCCGAAGAACGCCTCCCAAGGCTTCCTGTCGTCGTCGTCGTCGGCGCATGTTTGAAGAGTTATCCAAGGCGCTCCAAACGCGCCCCTGTGCAATCAATGGTGGTAGGAGTGCGACGGGAGGAGGAATGTACAGAAAGAAGGGCGAACTTGATAATTTCAAGGGGTAACCATGTCGTTATACCTACAATGCGCGACTAAGGTCGAAGCAGGGAGAGGAAGGACCGACCGACAGATACCCACGACGAGGGGAAGAGCGGAAAAGATACGCAAAGACACACACCAAGACAAGACAGTCAGAGATACGCAGCAAGAGGCGGTGGAACGAGAACAGACCCCAAGCAAGCGAGAGAGAGGGGGAGACATGACAGCACAATCGAGGGCAATTTGAACAGATGCAGGTAGCAAACCGAAAAAATGTGGACACGATGACGATGCAAACTATTGCTGCGGCCAAAATGCCAGAAACATTTGGTAACGCAGGATGCCATATATTGCGTTGTTGTGGGGCTGCCCTGCGCGGAAGCTAGTGTGATGTACGGAGGGTCCCGAAATCGAGAGCTGGAATAATCACCCACAGTTTCCTCTGAATTCCAACGTTGTGTCTCTTGCAGGCTGGAAACAATATTCGGAGCTAACAACACACTCAACGTTGACACTGCAGCGACTGCAAAAAATATACTTCCATAGGAGGATTCACCCCTCCCATCTTTGACTCGGCTTGAACACCCTGAAGTTGTCGTTTCCAGACTGGTGAACTGACCCACCTCCTGATCGCTTCTTGTGTCTCCTCTTTGAGCCTAGCCTTGATGTCAGCATCACCCGATCTTGCCAACAGAGATTTGGCAGAGCCAGCGTCCATCCCCGTCCCCATGCACGCCTCCTGGAGACCCTGCGGCACACCCAAGATGGCACGTGCATATGCACCCCCGGAGTAATGAGGTGCAACGATACGAGCACTTCGTGTTAAGAGTGCAACACCAGGTACTGAAGAGCAGTAGAAGAGCATCGGTGGTTGCCTCGCCCTCACGTTTCAGGGAACACCTAGGGTCACCATCAGGCTCAGGTCACACCCCAGGGGCTCGCCGGTCTCTACATCAGCACAGCATCACGGCAGCAACAGCGAAAAATACTTCGTCGCCGCTGTCAAGACTGCGGTTGTTTCGCCCACCTGCTCGCTGGCAATGTCCCCTCCGCCCCCCCACAGCCTCGTCCACAGCTCGCGGGTGAGGCCCTCTAGTCGCTCCGGTGCATCCACTGCCGCCGCGTTCAGCAATCTGTGAAGTTTGTTTGCGAGTGCAAAAGAGGGCACCAGGGTCGTTGAACTACAGTATACCTAGCCAAAGTCCTCAGGCCAACAAGCATAGATCCTCGCATCCCTTAACCCACCAAGCTTTGACGGAGATTACGGGATTTTTGGGCTACCAGCCCGCCATTCTTGGGCGGACTGGACACACGTCCAGATAGCGCCGTGCCTCTTGATAAACCAGAAACGTCGAAGGCGACGAATTGCCTCACGGTACCTTTGGGCGGCGAGCGTCTCGAACATTGCGCGGGGGTCCTTGAGGGGCACTAGTGGGGCGCCATGGTACCTCGCCATCCTCGCCAGGTCTTCCTTCATGTACTTCCCTTTCGCTTTCAAAGTCGCTGGGGGCTTGTTTCTTTCCGTTCCGTTTTCGAAAGAACGTTTTTTTGACACCGAAACACGATGGAGAAAAGCACGGCCGAACAGCAGACAATGAGAGAGTCTTAAAACAGAGAGAGCACACGGCGCCTTCAAGGCAAGGCAAGACGGTCGCAAGGTTAAGAGATGGGGAAGATTGCGATTCATGGATAGTTCAGCAATTGAAGCAACATCGCAAATAAGCAGCAGCGGTGACTTTGGGAGTGTGACCTGGAATCACAGTAACGTGAACAGCCACATGATGAGTGAACACGGTCGGTCGGAGGGGGCGATGGGACAACGGAAGGATGGGGAGAGGACGAATAGAGGGGAAAGGGGTGCTACCATCAAACATACGCCACAAAGGGCGCTGAGCGCCCCGAAGACATAGGTCCAACAACCGATATCCCAAGTAAGCACCCCGCCGGTGCAGTCACTCGTCGCGCAGCGCAGTCTTAAAAAGTTTCGGTAGGCACGCTCGGGAAGACCTCCAAGACCGTTGATTCCTCCTAGCCCCTGACCCCTTCCTCCCTGCCCTCAAAACAAGGCAATTTTGGAACATTTGTCCCCACCCTGCCCTCGAAATTAGGCCATTTTACAACATTTCTCGTCAGCAGCAGTGATGCGGTACAATTCGCTCGCTGACCCTGTGGCTTTCATGATGCCGCCGAGGAAGAACGGGCGGAGCGTGATGTCGGCGTCCCACACGCCGAGGTCGCGATATCGCATCAGCGTCTCGAACGCCAGCCAGCTGTACGGGCTGCGAGCGTCGTGGGGGGCCGGGGGAGCGCATGACCGGGGCAGAGTACGTTACTTCGCGCTTGGTGATGTGGTGAAGGCGGTGCTGTTTTCGAGGCGGGTTTGGCGTTTCATGTTGCCACAGGTGGGCATGCCCGTGCATCACATTTATCCGAGGGTCGGGCGATTCAACATGCACACAACCCGATCTCAAGCTCAAACTCGAAGCACGAAGATGCACGACTTCACGTTCATACTTTGTGGAAAGATGGAAAGAGGCGAAGTAAACATCCGCGATCCAAGTATTATGGAAGTACGTTTCAGCGTGCACAGGATGTGTCCGAGTCCCATAGCAGTACATGGAATTTGCTTCATTTTCGTAATTTGGGGAGGACAGGGCCTACACCTTGATACCAACTATCACGGTACGGTACAAACAGGTTCTTTCTGTATTTTGTGTCGAACACTGATGTTTTATTCAGACTATCAGATACAAAAATGCATAGAGTAATGTGAGTCCAAACCCATCCCGGAAAAAAAACATTTGGTCTACTGTACAGCAGGTCTGCTTGCTTGGACTGCTGTAGTTTAAACTCAGGACACTGCTGTTGGGAGCAGGGCGGAAGGTTACAAAAGTACAGATTCCCATACGTGTTGATAGTGTCAGGCCGATTGTGGATTTTCGGGATTCGGTGTGGCTAATTTTCCACAGGTGGAATTAAAAACGTCGTTCACCCCACCAGCTGTAGCTAGCCCTACAAGACTCCAGTCGACAAAGAACATTTTACCTGTGCTGTGCTGTAACACAGGCTCAGGCCTAGTCGTGGGATCCGTCGTTGTTTACCCCACCGGCCGTGGCAGCAATACTGCTGTACCGTTTCAGCTCCACGACGGTTCTCACGATAGCCCCGCAGCGCAGCAACACACACATTCATGTCCTGTGTCGACTGTAGTCTTTTCGGGAGAGCTACAGCTGATGGGGTAGTGTCTGCCCAACCGGGGTGGACAATCACCCCTACCGCCGTGCAAGTATCGTATTTCGCCGCACACCGTGCCTGGGTTTTGCCGCCGCCGCGCACCTTTTCCGATCTTGTCGACACGCTGTCGGGTCTTGTGGGGTGCTTCCGCCCGATTCTTTGAACTGACGCTTCAATGCTCTTTCTCACTCAACCAAGTTTTCCTTTCCCACTCAAGCAACGGACTTCACCCACAGCTGGCAGGCAGCAACAACAGCGTAACAGCACAGCTGCAGTAGCTAGTATCTTCGACGCTACTCAGCAGCAGACATGTGAACATCACAGAGAGGCGCACCTGGCGACATCGTAGAATAAGTCAATTTTTGGAACCACTCTGCTCCTCCTCCACGCAGCTGACGCTGCTGTTGCCAACTCTTTTGCTGCCATCGCGGGTACCTCAACCTTCAACTTTCCCTCCTGCGCAAGTGCTTGGTGGGACGGCCAGAGAAGCCAGAAGCGCTGAGAAAGGGCCGGGAGGAGTGATGGCATCGGCGGCCGTTCTGCGGCACCCCCCTGAGCCAACAGTCCCGAAAAAAATATAGTTTTGGGAGGTGGGTCTGATAGCTGAGAGGCAATGCGTTGGTTGGCATATGTCCGTGTCCCCCGAAGACGATTGCTCATGTCGTTATCATCCTTATTCCTCATGGAAGAGAGTCCCACATAAAGCCCGTGGCCCGTCCAGAGCAGAGGTACAGCAGTACCAGATCTAGAGTAGGTATGCATGTAAAGTTGCTGTGCCGCGGCTTTTTTTTTTGAACCCTCGTATCATACAATGGTTGACCTCTGATCCAGCCCCAGTCCTCCAGCTCCGGTCGGCCGTGCGTTGGCCGTGTGTGAGGGTTAGGGTTAGGGTTAGGGTTAGGATTGGGTTATTGGGTTGGGTCGGCCACGGTGTGTGGCACATCCCGTGTGAGGGAGGACCTAGATTCAATATCGGTTAGACCTGAAGAGTTGCAACTTTTATCAAATGTGAAGACTAGACTAGTCTATACCGGTCGCCCCGGTGGGCTAGTGGTATCCTCGTAATCCGCTAGTTGCAGAGGTCGTGAATTCGAATCCCGATAGGGTGAAAACTTTACGAAATTCGCAGGTGAAAGCGAAACATAGCTTAAAAAGCTCTCGTGAGTACCAAACGTCGACGTTAGTCAGCACCGTTGACGAGGGAAAGGGACGGCCGGACCCTTCTCGCGATAAAAAAATTCAGCACGCACCACAGGAGGAAGGTGGGGCATGAAAAGAAATAAAAAGAAAAAAAAAGCCCCTGGTGTTTACCCCCTCCCCTCCTGTTTGACCCTGGATGGTTGTAGTTGTACGAAAAAACACACTGAAAAAGTGTAGTACTCTACATACATACGCTGAAAGGGTAGTACACGTCTCACCACGAAAAATGGGGGGATTGTCGCCATAATAAATAGGACGAAAACACAACACACACGTCCAAAGATCCAAACCTCCTCTGATCTTTCTCCACCACTGCTGTACCCACCAACACCACACACACACACGAGAGGTCATGGCATCCCGGCGTGGGAAGAAGGGGGCTGCCCCTGGCACATCAGACGCCATCGAGGCGGCTTGGATCGCGCGCGCAAGAGGTGGCGTGACACGCTTCGTCCGTTCAAAGGCCCATGGGAAAGGGCACACGACCAGTTTCCATTGTTTCGGAATTCTTGAAGTTTGCTCTTTCCCATGGCCTTTGAGCGTACGAAGCGTGTGACGCCACCTCCCGTACGCGCGATCCATGCCGCCTCGATGGCGTCTGAACGCGGTCGCCTCCTCAGAATGTGAGTTTGAGCGACATTGGCGAGGTCTACTCTGCAGCGGCTGCTGGGGAGGCTGAACGTTACACGGATTCGGTAAGTCACTAGTCTAGTCACTGCTTAGCCGCCGGCGCCGACGCCATCGCCAGACCAATATGAAGAAGGTGGATGTATGTTGACAATGCGACAATGCATGCAACGTACGTGCGTCAAAAAAAGGTCCAGTGTCAACGTCCGATGTCGCACATCCACGCCTTGATGTCTTTTGGGGTTCTCGCCTAGAGGTATGCTGTAGACTAGACTATATATCTCGAACGGATGTCGTGTGGAGGGATACATGCGCCGGACACATCCTGGATAACGGGGAACTCTATTTTGTGGTAAAATTCAGTAGCTTTCGCACCAACAACTTGCGCCAACCGCTAATTTGATTTTTCGGTTTTTACATGTGCAAGGCACAGCAGCAGCGCTTGCATAGAGGTACACAGCCCAAGCGGTCTGGGTTCAATAGTTGTTCATGCGCATAGCGGCCTACTCCGACTCGAGCCGTTTCAACGTCATTAATCAGCGCGCGCGCCGCGATTACAATTTTTGTTGTGCCCAGCCACGCTGCCTCCTTGAAAAATGCACCTACGCATACTGCAGATGCTCGTGCGTTTTGGTATCTGGGGTACGACGGTAAATCATATAGGGGGGGGGGTGTTCATCAGCTGGCAAAGACAAATGACAAGCTCTGCCTGGTCATGGTGCGATAAGCCGCCCTCTCAACCAACAACAGCAGACTTCAACCTAAGTTCAGAAACAAGCGCGTGTTAGCGAAGGCACAGGCCGCAAACTACTGCTCTCTAGGCGGCTTTCTCTCATCTATGTCGCCGCCGCCTCTCTAGCTTGACGACACGCAGCAACGGCCGACCCAAAAAGACCAAACCATGATGCTTCTCTTCTCGCTTCTTAAAATGAACGCAGGAGGTCTGGCCCTACAGTCTCTGTATGCCTCGCGTTGTGTCTCTCGGCCCTCTCGTCCAGGTCCCCGAGTCTCTCTCTCCGTCGGATGCTCGTAACTTTCGTTGCCTAACATCCAAGCAGTACAAATAGGCTCTAGTGTCGAACAACGAAGGACCAATAACCACCCCTTTCGGCGGGTCTCAAACCTACTTGTTCTTACTACACTTGCTCTCTTGGCTTCGTGGTACTCCTTTGTCCTTGGTCCTTTCTAGGAGGAGGAGTCTGATCGTGAGGAAGAGGCGGACTTGTCATCCGTGAGGAGCGGAAACGACAGGGAGGGAGGCGTCCGCCGGCCAGGGCGGTGGGAAGTGCAGTTATGGCGGAGGTGGCCGGCAATTGACTGGGGCTGCCCGTGCGGAATGTTTCAGACGAGAATGTGTTTTTCTCCTCTTAGGGGAATGCGCCCTGACGCTGCCTGCAACTTCGGTGGTTCTAGCAGCGGGACGGCGCGTTCGCCGTATTGTCCTTCATGCCTCCCGAATAAGCCATGAAGAACGTCATGCGATTTTCGGCGAAGACGCCGCCCCAGCTGTCTTTAAATACCTGCCGCAGAAGAACATGGCGGAAGGCGTGAGTTGAATTGCTCTCTCTTACATGAGAGCAAAAAAACACAGTCTCGTCTGAAACATCATTTTTTGTCTTTCATAGACACCCCTCATTATTTTCCACTGCGATCGTGTGGAGGCGGAACCACGTCTCCTACCTATGATTTGTGCTTGACAGCCTTAGATCGTCGCACATGCACTGGTGAACCAAAGTAAGAGTCTGTGTACATATTTTGTCTTCGTCTCGCGGTTCAGGCCAAGGGTGTTGGATGGTGTTTGCCCCCTCTGAAATAGTACTTCGTAGTTTCACCTCTGTCATCGTCACAGACTATAACCCGAAACCCTCATGCCGCTGGATGTCCCTCCCCCGGTGGTCTTATCCACAGCATGCACCACGGATCAAGCTGATCTTCTCGCCATTGTTCGCCGCAGCCGGTTGCTCGTCGGCCATGGCGGCTTCTCCAGTCCATGGGGGCAGGGCGGCCGGAGGCTCCGCACGAGGCTCTACTGCTGCCATCTCCGTTGTGTGGAGCTACGCCATTAGCCAGGCAACCAGCAGAGTGATTAGTCACTGGGGAATGGCAGACGGACACTTTGACGAACGCGTTCGCCAGCATAGGCATCACACACTCATGAATGCCTCGTTCCCTATCTCCGCGGGCTCCCAGAACTGGTGTGACATGCGACANATGGCTCATGAGGAAATGACACAGGCAGGAGGCGGAAGCGTCCGCGAAGCGCCAGCGCGCGAGGAAAGCAGAAGAAGAGAGTACGGCCATCTCGGGGCCAAAGAGAAAGAAAGTCGGGGAAGCGGCGGTGGGGGGGAAGAAACGGCGACCGGGCACTGCTGTAGAAGCGAGTAGGGCGGCCGAGGCAGCACTTGTGGCGAACCATGTACTCGGCTGATGTTGTTGCGCCCTGTTTCCCTCCTTGCCGTATGCTATACTCCTTTATGTATGTCCTTGGTACTGCCTTCGGCCTCTGTGCTGTGCTCCTTTTTTCATGTCCTCCCTGCCTACTCTGCTTCGTTGGGTACCTTGATCTCGCTTTTGCTGTTGCTTTTGTTTTTGTACATCTGGCTGTCTGCTCATCTGCCGCCTCTTTGTCCTGTTTGCTCCGTTACTCTCATGCCCTGGTGCGTAGTGCCTGGTGCTGGTACGTTACCCTTTGATTGTTTCTTTAGGCGGGTGTGGGAAGTGTCCTCCTTTATTTTTGTTTTTGTTTCACTTTGATCGGTTTCCGAGGGCTCTTTTCTCGAACGGTCGGTGCGGTACCTGTTTTTTCCTTTTTGTCATTTTAATTTCCTTTCCTGAGTGGTTTGTACCCTATTTTTGTTTTGTTTCCCCGCGGCGTCGTATGCGCCGGGTTTGAGACCACGGGCTCCCCATTTTTGTGGACTCTATACATATGTAGGACTAATGTGAGAAACAACAACAACAGCAACAACAACGACAGAATACATCTCCGCCTAGTGGAGTTACGCCATGAACAGAGGTGATTATTCGCTGGGGTATGGGCGGGCGGACCCGTCGATGAACGCCTGATGATAAACAGAGGTGATTATTCACTGGGGTATGGGCGGGCGGACCCGTCGACGAACGCATTATCAACTCCACACGGCGGAGATCATTACGTAGAATGTCGTACCCCTATGGAAGCCCGCGGGGATGGGACACGAGGCCTTCATGGGTGCATGTTGGTTTGTCTTGGCGATTTGTGCTGGAAGTATTTGCTGAGGCATGATGTAGCGGCTGCTGTGATCGTATCCTTTTTCTTGATAATAGCGGTATAGCTTTGCGGCTATGTCCATGCCGTACGTAAGCTGACACAACAGAGTTTACTACTACGTCGCACATCAACTTGTACAAAACGCGTGTTGTCTTTCGTTGGAGTCAAGCAAACGACCTGCTCTATTCGCGAATGCGTGCGGAAACAAAAAGATGTCTCGTGGCGAGCTGTGTATATCACACGAGCGATGCATACGGTGGCTAGACTAGTCTCCACTATTTGCCTCGCTGCGATGCCTCACCCGATAAACCGCTGTGGAACGCGGTGATGCGTTCCCGCCATCTATATCCGTGTGTATACAAGATCTTGTCCGTCCCTCTCGGGGGTTCCCATTGCAGTTACTTCCGTGTACTATTTTCCGGGCGGCAAGGGAATTAGTTGCCTACTCATGTGGTCATATGCATCATACCCTCTCTGTTCTCATGGCCAATGACGCCCGTTCGAAATCGTCGCCCATTTGCTATTTTTCCGCTCAACACACAGGGGTCTTTCGCCCAGCACTGCGGCCCTCACGCACCCAGTGGCACAAGGGCTCTAGGCTGGCCGTGGCCGAGTTCCTTGTGGCGCCTCTGCGGGGGGTTGCTACCACCAAGGCCGACAACAACAAGAACGAAGACGGGATTGTGAGGCTCCTGTCTCGCGCATTGATAGCGGAAGAGGCCGAGGACATGGTCAGAAACCGCGTGAGTATGCATATGAAGCATCATGTAGTCTAGCACCCGGAGTAATGAATGTGTCCCGTCGCGTGCTGTGGGTCGTAGACGAGACACACAGCAGCTCTTGCGCCAGCAGCCAACGGGGTCCTACCGACCCCTCATTCTGCCTCCAAACCTATCATGTGAATCAGTGGCGTGATGTACTTGCTGTTGCTTGGTAGTGTGTTGTTTTGCGGAAAGTTTCTCATATCCGGATGCGGCGATCCTTGAAGGTACGCACATGCCAATAGGCTAGACTATACAAATCAATTCCTCAACTGACCTTTCCTTCCGGCGTTTCTTGTGCGGTCACAGGACATGATGCCGTTCGTCAACTCCTTGCTCGATCTGCCCCTTCAGGCCCACAGGTCGAGAAGGTGGGCCTCCCTGGATCCGCGCGACATCTGGGGGAGGTTCGTCGATATCGCGTGTAACAGATTGGTCATTCGAGTGCGGCCGGCGTGGCCGCGTTAGCCTGCCACCAGGGACGAGTATTCCCGGGTTTCCCCGTCCGCCATTTTTTTCCGTTTGGGCCGATTTTTTCCGGTTGGGCGATTTTTTACCGTCTGGGCCGGGTCCCGACGGAAAAATCCACCGGGTTATTGAGGATTTTCAGTTTTTTTTGGCCGCAAGAAATACGCCGGCAACTTTTTCCGTCGAGGACGGGACGAAGCGGCACGTACGAGCGCAAGCAATCAAGCGCTCCCTGCGCAGAAGGCTGAGCAGCGGAGACTGGGGTTTCTTTCACAGCAACGTGTGTGCAGTTGTTCAGTCGGTATTCGGGCGCGCGAGAAGGTTTTTGGTGCCCGCGTGCGGCGGAACAGCAGCTCGCGTTTTATTTTGAACCGGATCATCTTTGATCGAGGTAGGAGGGCCTCTGGAAGAGGAGAGAGGATCGCGACTCAGCGCGAGGCGGCAGGAGCCCAGGCGGCAAGAGCCCGACCGTCTGTGAGTAGGTAGGAGGAGAAGGAGGAGGGCGCGTCCCTGAGTGGTTGCATGGACAGCAGTGCGACCGGAGAGGAGAGCGACTCCGGCAGCAGCTCCAGCTTGGTCGTAGATGTGGTTCCTGCCTCGCGTGCACGTGGAGGTGGTACGCAGGAAGTCAGCTGTGAAGCGTCAACTTTGTCGAGGGGTTCGTGTTTGCGGCCTACGCCACTTATTTATCGGGTGAGACTGTTTTGGTGATGTATTAACTTCACGGGAGGTAGACGACCGTCCTTCACACGGACGAAAGAGGGAGTACTCAAAGAGCGGCTCCCACAGCAAGGAGGGGCCCGTGAATCATCGCAGTGCCCCCTATCAAACGGTTATCTTATCAGTCTGCGTGACACAAAATCATCCAGCACATGTAGACTATCCAACAGCAATGTTCGCAGGCTCACGAACACCCTCCCTGGTTCTTCACGCAAGTGACTAACCATCAATTGGGCAAGAACGCCCCAGGATACATCAGAAAATACCAACATGGTAACATATAGAGGGGAACCCGGCGTCCGGGCAAAACCCCTCAAGGAAAAACCCTTCCACTAAAAAAACCCGTCGCTATCACAGCGGCTTACAACGGCCGCACTTACCAAAAAATCCAAGGCAAGTGCTAAAAACTGCTACATCTACTCCGGCAAATTCATCAGCTTGCGCCGGTGGTACTGCAGACTGACCCTGCTAAGGGCCTTGGTAAGGAGGTCCGCGTGTTGCTCCGTTGTCGGAACAAACTTGACCGAAATATCCCCCGACCTAAACAATCCTCGGATGAAATGATACCTCACGTCGATGTGTTTCGTGCGACCTGAGCTGAGGGGGTTCTGCACCAA